GGGGTTGGGGGGCCTTCTTTCAGGGCATCGAGCTTCCAGCAGGACTCCAGCCCCACCTAGCCGTCGTGCGAGCATGCACTCGACCCACGCCCTCCGGAGGGACCCTGTGCGATTCGCACCCCACCAAAGTGACCCCATCCGGCAGGGCGGGAAGTGCTCCCAGCAGGGGAGATCTCGAAGCGACTTACTGGCTCTGACTCCAGTTTTCCTAGGCGAGGTCAGGTCGCTGACTTTGCACGTTCCACCCTCCGCCGCCTCGGTTACATCAGCCAAGCATGATGCTCGCCATTCTGATTCCCGAGCCTGCCCGGTGTCGTCAGACCGACCAGGAGGTGGAGCAGCACAAGACGGCGACGCTTTGTGCGTGGCGATGCCTGTTCGTCCCCTCCACGCCCCTTCCCCCTCCTCTTAAACCAAAACAAACGCACGCGGCCACCCGCCACTCCCACCCCGCCGGTTCCATTCAGAAATTCCATCCTCCTGTTATGCGAGACGCCTGCTGCACCTGGAATCACCCCAAATGGAAGGAAGTTAAGAGGAACCCCACCAAAACGGCCTTCTTGTGCTCTACCAGCCCGTCGGCACCTTTCCCCTTTTCAATTTTGATCATGGATTTTTTATAAGATGGATGAAAAGTGCCATGTACTTCCGTACGTATAGGCAAATCCATCTACACACGGTATGGACTTTTTGACTACTAAGAGAGTGTCAAAGTTTATCATTCGAAGAGTAATGCCAACGGCAAGGGGTCAGGTTGCGGGGTTTTTGATACCTAAATGCAAAGTGATCGTCCAAAAAGTACGTCAGTTTTTCTCAGATTAATTTGACAAAGTTACAGGAGCTTGGCGCCTGCGAGACTCAGGGTAGGCCACCCCGCAGTTCACGCATGCGCAGCAGGCATGATGTTGCCTACCCATAAGGCGCTATAAGAGCTCGCTTGGGCTTGGCAGGTTCGCCAAACGGCTAATGTACCGCAAGTGTCTTGTGTCTACAAATGTAATACCGTCGAGAAATTATGTGTTAATTTATTCTGTGTGAATCGCGAGAGGGAGAGCAGGCTGGGGGTCTATTCTTGGCACAAGTCATTTAGGTACAATGTGGACCGGTCAAACAGGAGGTCTACCGGCTACTTTGTCGAGAACTACCGCCCTAAAGGCGTTCTCTCTGCCCATCGCTCCCTGATACTCCGTAGTGAGAGCCAGAGTGTCAGAGAAGGTGGTTGTCGTTGTGGTGCATTTGCATACCAGTCCGTCCGAACAGCTTGGAGACAGTCCCGCCTCAGCCAGAAGGGCAGATCAGACTGCTGTTAGAGAGAGAAAGCATCCTAGCAGAGAAGAGGTGCAAGAGTGCAGCGGGGGATCGTCTTAAAGCTCCTTAAAAGCTCAAAGAAGTTTTTAGCAGTACTTATTAAAAATTGGTACACCCATACCCCCCACCCTTCCTACCGGCGCGTGGATTCCCGTTCCCGTTTGTCGTCTCGGTGACCGGCTGGCTCCTTATCTCACCGCAACCCAAACTGCTACAAAGTTTGCTGTACACTCTCAGGCCCGACCTCACGCTTTTGTTTTCCTTGTTACAGTTCAGACGAGCACACAGCCGACCGGCCCTGCAGTCCGCAGCATGGTTGTTGGTCCGCAGCAGCAGCCCCTGGGCACGGGGTGAGTATCTGCCTTCGCCTTCCTTGACTTGGAGAGAACCAGGTCAGTGCTGCTGACCTGAGATCATTTTTTTTACGGTGAAGGATAGAGTGGACGAACGGCCGCGGTAATCGAACGGGTAACTCTAGTGCTTGTGCTTATGATGGTGCGTTCACTGTTGATCACCATCACTTTCGTTCGCTAGATTGTCTACTTAGCTCGCTTTGATCAGAAAAACTCCCGGTTCCAGGCGCGCCCAAAAAAGGTAGCCTAGGGGACTCGATGCACAAAACCAACTGTAACGGAAAGAGCATTAAAATTACCCGAAATTTGTACATGGCTGACTATAAATAAAATTAACGTTTTGACTGAAATTAATCGCTAATAAATTGTCGGTCGGAAAAGTCTCATTCTCTATCTCTCGCCCTCTCACTCCCCCTCACCTAGTGTGGTAACGCTTTTGGCTGGACGATAACACTAGAAGAAGGAAGACCTTTATCGAGGAATAGTGAAAAACTTTTATTGTATCCCTCTGCCTCCTCGGGAAAGCGCCTTCCCGTTCTCGTTGGACGTGTACTTTCGTTCAGAACGTGTCTTTCAAATGGAGTGAAAGAGCTGCACGACTCGCGCGTCTCTAAAGGAAAATTTTCTTGACCAACACATCTTATATTTATTCATATTGCAGCTTTGTTTTGTTACTTTTATCTTAAGTGACGGCTCTTCTCTTTTTTCATCGCCCGGAAAGTTTTCCACTCCCCCCCCCCTCCCCCATGCCCGCCTCAATGGTCACTCCTTCTCGTCGATCCGGGTTTGTCGCTGCGTAGCGGCAAGTATAGTGTCGTCGTAGTCCAGGTCCAGGGCGGGCAGAGGGAGGAACTGCCGACGGGGTATGGCGAGCGGGACTGATAGACGGGGTGTCGATAGTCCAGGGCTGTTGTGTGGGAGAGAGAAGGAGTGAGGCTGACGATAGTGAGTGAGAGTGATGGACAGGGTCCCCCTCTCCCCTCCCCCTCTCGAGGCTCACTGCACCAGACTGGCGGGGACCTAATTACCCGACGCGCAGTACCGCTTCGCGGTCAGGTCATCGCGGCGACCATCCTCGAGGTCGGCCGCGTGAGAAATAAAAGCAAATCTGCCCTCCGGTCCGGCGGGGCGAGGCTGAGTGGGGCGGGGTGGGCACGCGGGCAGGGAATGACTCACGGACTGGTTGGCGATGCGAGGACGGGCATTCCCCAATCCACAAGACGGCCAATCCAGGGTCTGCTCAGTGGGGAGGATATGGCGCACTTTTTGTCTAGATACAGGGGCGGGCGACTTGCATATTTTCAAATTGCCCCCACCGCACACGGCGCGGCGCTTGGAGAAGGAGATCTGAACGGTTTTGGGCGTGATGCCCCCGCGGTTACTTTATTATTGATCGTTTGGACGTAAAACGTTTTCGTTATAAACGTGTTGTACAACTGGGCCACCTTCTCGCCACCTCTCCCCACACCCACCTCCCCCTTGCCTTCCATCACTCCCCGTGGTCGACTGCTACTTTCACTCCGAGATAACGCCTTATGCGATGACAGGCCGAAGACGCCGCGCGGGGGGAGGGGGGGATGGGCGCCACACCGCGGCGTG